CTCACACTTTAAGAGCACCTCTGTATTGCGGAACTGTAACGACTCTTCCGCATGTGGCTGCAACTTCGGTTTGGCCAATTGGCAGCACGCGCCACTCGCTTTTGGAGCGTGGACACTCGCGGTGGGTCTAGGACCCCCTAGGCGCGTGCATGGTGGTAGACGCTCCCAGTCACACCCACCCCAACCTGATTGCGATCGCTACCAACTGCCATACCACTTTGGAGTCTCGGGGCAAGCCTCAGACTGTATCCTGAGAGGTCTCTCTTGAATATATAGTAGGGCAAGGAGCCCCACGCCCGTACATACATGCATCTACATCTACAACTACCCTACTGCTATTATACAGCCAGCGCACCTTGTCCTCTCCGCGCCGTCGCTCAAAAATCCAATTTTGTGTTTTGAATGAAAAGTGAGTCGAAAAATTTTGCCCAATCAGGGCGCGATTTAATTGTGTCACGCTTTTGGATATATTTGTAATTTTAGCATAGTTAGGTCGAGTCAGAAAGGTAGGCGCGGTCGGTAGGATAGGAGGAAACTGTATAAGACAGGCCGAGTGTAGCCATGCGAAAAGGCAGGAAAAAGCAGCAAGACGGGGAATGCGATGGACTGACGGACGGACAGACCGACAGGTTACAAGGTTAGAAGCGGGGAGCCCGAACTTTCCTTTCCAGTACTAATCCAGAAGCCCTCTGTGAATAGAACACATCACTGTCATTTCCATCCCGGCTCCTCGGATTACAAACAACTTAGGGGTATCGTCACTCTAGGGGGCTTGTTGGTCCAGTCAGATTTTGCTTAGGCCCTCCCCTTGGCCGACGTGTTACAGCCCTCAGCTCACGGTCCGACGGATCCAAATTACCTTGCACGGCTGTGGACCAAGCAGCTGTACATGGTAATTCAGACGCCGCATCGCGCTGTTGCCTCTTGTGTACGTCAAAGCTGTTGCCTCAGCCCTGTTGAGTGGTTGCCCAGGTCTGTTCGATACCGTCCAGCCCTTCAGATCATGTCAGTAGTATGCGCAGGGTGTCCGAGAACGACCCAGCCCCTCACGGGGCTCACACAGCTCCGAAAATGCTCTTAAACTGTCTATTATGACGCTATGCTATCTAAGTGTACAGGCGCGGGGCTCACTCATGCTCTTAAAGTGTTTTTTGTCTTGATCTCTTGTTCTTGAGCTGTCCTTGCACTTGGTCTTGGGCTCCTTGCTCTTGTGAGACCGACTGCTGCATTCCTTTCCGTCCCGCCAGAAGTGCTCTCGCAAAGTGTGTTTTGATGCGGGAGCTCACACTTTAAGAGCACCTCTGTATTGCGGAACTGTAACGACTCTTCCGCATGTGGCTGCAACTTCGGTTTGGCCAATTGGCAGCACGCGCCACTCGCTTTTGGAGCGTGGACACTCGCGGTGGGTCTAGGACCCCTAGGCGCGTGCATGGTGGTAGACGCTCCCAGTCACACCCACCCCAACCTGATTGCGATCGCTACCAACTGCCATACCACTTTGGAGTCTCGGGGCAAGCCTCAGACTGTATCCTGAGAGGTCTCTCTTGAATATATAGTAGGGCAAGGAGCCCCACGCCCGTACATACATGCATATACATCTACAACTACCCTACTGCTATTATACAGCCAGCGCACCTTGTCCTCTCCGCGCCGTCGCTCAAAAATCCAATTTTGTGTTTTGAATGAAAAGTGAGTCGAAAAATATTGCCCAATCAGGGCGCGATTTAATTGTGTCACGCTTTTGGATATATTTGTAATTTTAGCATAGTTAGGTCGAGTCAGAAAGGTAGGCGCGGTCGGTAGGATAGGAGGAAACTGTATAAGACAGGCCGAGTGTAGCCATGCGAAAAGGCAGGAAAAAGCAGCAAGACGGGGAATGCGACGGACTGACGGACGGACAGACCGACAGGTTACAAGGTTAGAAGCGGGGAGACTAGCGGTCTGGGCGCCCGCTCCGCGGACGCTAGGGCATGGTTGGTTGGTGCGCGAAGTATCTTTTAGGATAGGTAGTATTTGCCGATGGTCGCCACAAACATCAATATTATGCTTTAAAATTATTCTGCTGAGCTGTTTGTGATGTAACTGAAGGGTATTTCCACTATCTTCCGCATGCATTTATCTTACTTGCATTGCTGACGTACTTTCTGACTTATTTGTATAGCTTCTGACTGACAGAGTGGCGTAAATCCTTTCCGACTGACATTATACTGGGTCCGATATGTACGACAAAAGGCCTCGTCCACATCGGACGAAGAGGCACCACTGCGTGCACATTCTTTTGACCGGCTGCAACATACGAAGATATATGGCTGTAGGCAGAGTATCAAATCGTAGTGATGGTTAGACTTGAATTGAATAATAGTTCATGTACATTAGATGGAGTACTTTCGCTGCCTACTTATCAGCTCGGCGTGCTATTTGATGTGTCCGTGCATATCCCGCAATGCCGCCAATGGGTGTTGTCGTGATAGCCAGCACCCATGCACTGGGTTACTGCTGCGATCTCGGTACTTTTGTATCGTCGTGCTAGCCTACTGTACCTACGATTATGATGTATCCGTCTATATGATCCAGCACGTCACTATTTGGGCACAGGTCATACCCGCGGTGATACAGGCAAGCTGACCGCGCGTATGTAGGTAGTAGTCAGCGCGAAATATGCGCGCGGCGGGTACATCTTATAATCATTCGCGACTCAACCGAGCTCTTATCTCGGCCATTATGGACAGGGCGCTAAAGTAAAGTACTGCGTACAGACAGATCTCCTTGCGATGGCCGCTTGTATGGTCATCACTACCGCATACGTGGCTGTGTCCATGTAGACAGCAGCTTATTCATCGCGCATAGTGCTCACTCAATACTGAAGCTTACATTCGTGAGCGCACATTAGTGAAATATAAACTGTGGGGTTGGTGGTACATATAGCATGGGTTTGCGTGTGCCAATTGAGCTAGTGTACTTTCCATCTACGGTAACGCGTATGCAGATAGGAACGGCCAGCTCGCAAGGGTACGCAGTAGATACCATGCGCTCATTATTATATGAAACGTGCTACACCCCGTAGGTGCGTCAACACAATTGGCAGCACCACAGTTAGTTTATCATATGTGCGGCCCCAAGCCTCGCGCCGCCCGCCAGTATACAAAATACAAAGATAAGCGGGGTAACGGGGGCAATAAGGATGTATATCCAAATTACTTGCTCTTCTGCTGCTTCTTTTGCTCGATGTACTTGGCGTTTCGGGCGGTCAGCTTGCGAGGGCGGCTACGCTTCTTCTTCTTCTTCTTCTTGGGGTACCAGTCAGGACCCATCGCCTTCTTGACGTTCGCCAGGCTTTCCTGGCGGCGCACTTCGGCCGAATCAGGTGGGGGGGGGGCTTTTCCTTCCAAAACTCAACCGCTTTTGGGCCGTTCTCGCAGGCAATACAGCGCCGCACGATGTCCCGCCCGCTGATTGTACGGAACGCGTAGCCGTACTGCAGCTTCCCGCAGCAGACGCAGCGCGCCCGGGCATCCGTCGTAGACCGCTGTGGGTACAGCAGAAACGGGTCAATCTTCGCCTCGCATTGCTTGCACGTAGGGCCCACAACTGTGAGTAAGTTAGCAAAATATATTGCTCTAACCAATTACGTGCGTCCAAATATTAGCCAATAGCACGGTACTGTAAGGGCGGAATTTATTCATTAGGCAAAATATTAAAATGTTTTTAAATATTAATATTTGGCTTAGCTTTAATATATATTATCCGATTTTCAAACAAATACATACTTTACATGCAATATAAATTGACTCAAACAATTATCTATCGTGCGCGCATGCATTCGTCGTGTGCGGTGCACGGTAGCAGATACCGCAATGACCGTGCAGCGGCGCGCCTTCATTGCACGGTGGCAGTGGTGAGTGCCAGGTGAGGTAAAAAACATATATATTCGCAAAGTCCCTACAAAAAGCGCTGGTCGTGAAGCCTACTTTAATATTAAAAAATACTATCGTCTCTACTTATGAAAGTGTGTGAAAAATAGCATCGCCGAGCTCTTACAAATGCGGCCTGTGAAGTTTATATTAATAATATTAGTACTATTAATAATATTATATTGAAAGTGTGTGGAAAATAACATCCCAGAGCTCTTACAGAATACCGGTTTGTGAAGTCTACATTAATAATGATAAATATCTCTATTTGAGAAGTGTGCAGACCTCTTAGAAAATATAGTGGTTACTGTGCCCGATTTGCAGTACATACGACAGGTTTTGCGTCGCTGAATGCAATAATCAAGTATCTCCTGGCTGTTTGCATCCAATCGATGTGTTTCGTGCTCGGCAAAACTGTTTAGCTTACGTCCAATCGCGAGGGCGATAGACGGTCTGATCGTGCGACAGATCCAGTCAGTGTCGCAGGTCGGCAGGTATTGCCCAATCAGGGCGCGAGTTAATTGTGTCACGCTTTTGGATATAATTGTAATTTTAGCATAGTTAGGTCGAGTCAGAGAGGTAGGCGCGGTCGGTAGGATAGGAGGAAACTGTATAAGACAGGCCGAGTGTAGCCATGCGAAAAGGCAGGAAAAAGCAGCAAGACGGGGAATGCGACGGACTGACGGACGGACAGACCGACAGGTTACAAGGTTAGAAGCGGGGAGATTTAATTTCAAATTTTAAGAACGTCACTCAATTCAAAATGTCATCCAATCACAGCTTTTTCTGGGTTTCGCTGCTCTATTGGTCAAAATCTTCCAAAACGACCTCAGTCACCAGCACCAAGCGACGGCGCCTGTCTCGCCTTAACTTCTCTACGTCGTGCAGCCACGACGACTTCCGTCACCATCTAGCGCCCCAGACACAGTTCAGATCCTCCTCCATCATCACACCGCCCATATCCGGTCCCAGCGCGACGACGAGCTACATCAATCGGCAACAGCCAGCTCCATTCTACAGCATCAGGAGAGCCTTTTCACGCTGGTACTCACTTTAACCAATCCTCCCAGTCCTGATCTCCACTTCAACATGCTGCAAGACACCATGATGGGGTCGTGGGAGTTCTCCTCTTCCTTCTGTGTTGGGCGCAGTCGCGGCTGCGAGGTCAGCATCGCCACGTCTGAGGAGACGCGCACTGTCAGCAAGCGGCACGTGGGCATCGTCCCTCTGACCGAGACGCTGTCCAGTTCGGCGCATACTGTGCCTGGTAAGCGTCGATGGCTCATCTACGACCTCGAAACTATGAATGGCACAGCAGTGAACGGCGTGGAGATTCCAAAAGGAGGCAACCAAGAGCTTCAAAACGGTGACGAAGTGGTGCTGGCCTCGGCCATGCGGCAATGCGTGCGTCTCCTGGTTCAGTTCCCTGACGAAGCACATTCTCGTATTATAGTCAAAGCGTTGGCACGTTCGGTCACGCCGTCTCCTGCGCCGCTGCACCGCCGTGCGACGACTCCAGGAGCATCCCCACGCCGCTCACCACGGCACGTTTTGATGACAAATGCGCCGGTCGCGGCTGCAGGATTTGGGAGATCTGCAGTGACAATTGCTGGAAGTCCAGCGCTTACGAGGACAGGATGTCGCTCGCTGGCGGGGACACCGAATAGTGCCACGAACATGATGACCCCACCTCCGCAGAATCTTTCACAGAAGAGAAGTCGCACTAGTCCAAGCAAATCAGCAACAGAGAGCGAGAATGTGGAGAGAAACAGACAGCACGATACGCCCACTAGTCAGCAGAGGAAACGCTCGCGTCGTGGCGGTGCAATTGAGAACGCAGCAGTGGATGGGGATCCGAACTCTGCTGCAAAACGAGCTCGAGAAAACGAGAAACAAGAACGCGAACGGCGTATGATGTGCTCCGTGTGTTTGGAATATTTCCACGGCAGTGCAACGCTGCCGTGCTCTCACACGTTTTGTGGACACTGCATCAGCAACTGGTTTCGCAACTCGCTGTCCTGCCCCGAGTGCCGTGACATCGTCAAGACAGTTCCTGTTCGCAACCGGGCACTGGATGAGCTAGTGGAGCGGCTGGTAGGCCAGACAGACGCGTACAAGTATCTCGTACGCCGTCGAGCGCAGATGCAGAGGCGATCGATTGGGCCACACCGATACGAACGTGGTGGTGACGAGTATGACGTATCTGAAGGAGCCACTCGCGGTTTCGGCAGTCTACAGCTTGGCAACAACCGTATCCCAGAGCCTAGAATGCGCTCCGTGTTTACCCGCTGGTCGGTGGAAGAAAAGCTGGCGTTCTCAGCATTCATCAACGACCAGTTTGGTGAGGCTCGCGTGGCAACTTGCAAGGAAGTAGGACTGACAGAGCCTACGGTGGACAGGGCTAACATGACGGAGCTACTCGTTGCCGCGCAGAATTTATTGCTTGACTGCGGTGGCCTTCGTCTGGTTGGAGACGAGAACTCCCAGCGACTGAAGATCTTTCTCTTCTTCGGCTAAACGTAGTGTCGATTCAGCTAGGTTAGATGACAAGCGGAATGCTGTTGCTGCGTATATAATTCACTACCGTCTGCAAGTATGTCATCAAGATTGCAAGACTCCGCGCCAGAGCAGTAGGGCGGCGGATGAAAGCTAAGCAGCAAATGAATGTACTGTAATAGCATGTACTAAAGAAAAGTACTATTAATAATAGTATTGGTACTGTAGTAGTATTTTACCGTGGAGATAAAGTAAATTACTGTAGTACATGAGCGAAAATTTACAATTCTGTAAAATGTTTCCCAAGGTTGCACCAGTTTGAGTCGCATTTTCAATACCAAAAACGAATTATGGCGACCGTAAGCGAGCGCCGCATCTTCAAACACGACGGTGCGCTACATCACTACCGCTGCAGCATGCTTAAGCGCTCAACAGGTTATCTTATGTGCTGTATTGTGCTGTTATTTATATCGCAGGCCGCGCCATTTATGAGTGGGAGCAGTCGATGGAGGAGGTGAACATCTTCATCAAGCCTCCACCAGGGGTCACAGCGCAACAGATTCAATGCGACATAGCTACTAACCACGTAACGCTGGGACTGCGTGGAGCCGCAGACAAGTTCCTCAATGTACGTGTACTTCCGTGTTTCTACGGACCATTGTTGTGATTATGACGTGTTTAAGTTGGTTTTTAGCACGACCTCGCGAGCTCCGTGGTGGTTGCTGAGAGCTACTGGATGCTCGGTAAGCTGTTGCATTATTGCAACTACAACAGCGATGTCTGGCTTAACTTTCTACATCTGGAGTAGACTCCGGCGAGCTAAATATCAACCTCCAGAAAATGAAGAAGGGATTTATTTGGCCGAGTGTATTCGTTGGACATGGAGAGGTATGATACTGCAGTGCGTGCATGCCAAAGCTCGTGTGAGAAAGTGTTACTTACGAGCAGCATTATGCTTCACTCGTGCAGCTGGATCCAATGCAGCAGGAAGCCACAAAGCAGCAAATGATGCTGGAACGATTTCAGGAGGAGAATCCAGGTTTTGATTTCTCCAATGCCGAATTCAACGGCTCTGCTCCAGATCCGCGTACGTTCATGGGTGGCGTCAAGTACACGTAAGCAACTACATCGTATGCAAGCAGCTTATTGCAAAAAAAAATGCTTGACCGAGGACATAACTATAAAGATCGACCAGCAAAATAAAACGCGGCGCTTCACAAAAATACGAATAGCAGCTTATTTTTCTCCTTACCCACTACGTGTAGAAATGGCAGGGGTAGACAAGAAAGCTGATGCCCCGTCCAGTGCTGGTGGGAACAGTGGTGGTGCTTTGAGGGCTGCGCGGCAAATTCGAAGTGGGGGTGAGCCGGGCACCTCAATTCACGTTCGCCAAGGATCGAATTTGACGTCTAGTGCGGGTGGAACGACAGGTGCTGGTAGTGGATCAAACGGTTCAAAAGGAAAAGGCTCGGCCTCCAACAGTGGTGCCAGTACACTTAGTAGCAGCACTTATGTAATGCGATTCAAGACGACATTTCGCAACACTATCTACGACACACTACTGCGTCGCGGGTGGAAGGAGACAACGGAGAATGACTGGGACTTTTACTGGGCTGACCGCGAGTATATCTACGAGCTTTTGGATACTGTGCACCTCGAGAACAGCCAACGGGTGAATCATTATCGAAATGGAAGAGAGGTACTGTAGGCTACAGCTACAGTTTAGCTGCTGGGGGATACGACGGCGTTGGACGATTGCCTTACCTCACTTTGCTGTCTACAGTTGTGTCGGAAAGATCTGCTCATTAAAAACCTGAAGCGAGCAAAGCGACAAATGGACAAGAAGGCGAGGTATGTAGCTCATTTCTGCTGCATCGCTGTCCTTGACATTAGATGTCGTGTATTAGGTCGGATGATGCAACATTAAGTGAGCTTGACTCGGCGCTGGGCTCGTACGATTTCTTTCCTGCCACGTACATTCTACCGGGCGAGTATGCCATTTTTGTCGAAGAGTTCAAGCGCAACCAGGGCGTTTGGATCATGAAGCCCATTGGAAAGTGAGTACAGGACATGTAACGCTGTTGCGCTCACTAATTGCCAACGCGTTGTGACTTTGTTTGCGATTAACGTAGAGCACAAGGTAAAGGCATCTTCCTGTTTACGAAGCTGAGCCAAATCAGTGACTGGCGCACGGATTTCCGCTGGCGGCCCGAAAATCAACAGGTAGAGACGTACGTCGTGCAGCGCTACATCTCAAGCCCGTACCTTGTCGGCGGAAAGAAATTTGATCTGCGCCTATACGCACTCGTGCCGTCCTTCTGTCCACTTGAAATCTACCTTTTCCGCGGTGGATTCGCGCGCTTCACCAATTCGCGATACTCGAACAATCACAGCGACATCGCCAATTCTTTCATCCACCTCACGAATGTTGCTGTCCAGAAAACGTCTGAGAACTACAACAAACAGGTTTGGATTAAAGCCAAAAAGAGGGCTCGAGTATTCACGTCTAACAGTGTTTTGGATGACTACCAGCACGGTGGAAAATGGGATCTGCGCAACTTGAAGCTGTACATGATGTCCAAGCATGGACCTGAACGAATTAACAAGCTTTTCTACGAGATTCAGCTGGTGATCATCAAGTCTTTGCTCAGGTGAGGACCGAATATTCGTTATAGTTCCGAACGTGAAGGATACCAACCCTCTCCCATTCAGCGTCGAAAAGATCATCATGAACGATAAACACTGCTTCGAGCTGTACGGATACGACATTATGATCGATGAAAACCTCAAGGTGTGGCTCTTGGAGGTGAACGCTTCGCCTTCCGTAAGCACGTTTTGCATCTAAAATCCAAACCTAAGTCTAACAATTGTTTTGTGCGAGTAGCTTTCAGCTAACACCTCGTCAGATTATCAGCTCAAGTGCGGAATGCTGAACGATATGCTTGATATAATCGACCTCGAGAGCAGGTATGAGCTCTCTTAAAAGCAATTTTCTAACGGTACCGAAGGATTTATTGACTTTTTGGAAATCCAGGAAACCCGAGGGGGTCGTTCAGGAGCATATGGGAGGCTTTGATCTCGTGTTCCGTGACGGTAATGTCACCAAAAAGAATGAAGGCTGTATGTACACGACTTTCCTGGGAGCAGACTGGCAGCGAACACCCGCTACGAGAACAAGCGGCACCAATAGCACCCAGTCATGATGAGGCATGATAAAGTAAAGTAGGCAGGTCTTAGAAATGAGATACACATTTCCTTAAACAAAACAAGATCGCTTCTGCTCTTCGCTTCCTCCCCCTGTGGAACAAAGCGGTATATATTGGCATCGCCATTTATCTGTACCTCGTACTGGATCAGTTAGGGGGTTGAGTCGAATTCGTTTTGATTTTGGTCGGCGCTGCACTCAATTCAATTTCAAAGCAGCTGCGTATCCACAGCGGATAGCTCGGCTGCATTTGTGCGTTGGTGGCGTCCCGGTGGATTTACTTGATACTCACGATAACAAACTAATGGGAGCAGAGGGAAGCGCTCTGTCTCGCCATCAAAAATGGACTCCAAGGCCGTAAGCGGTCGACACTAGGATCGGCAATCGAAATTAAATGCCTGCAGAGTTGGGCTCTTCGTCATGATTCTGGTGAGCCACCACAATGCGTTCACCGAAACGTCGCTGTGCCATGGCTTTTAGTCTATCACGAACATTCGCAGCCGTGACGGCGATCCTGCGGCTCCGGTGGAGATCAGACTCGTGCACAAAAACCACATCCGACTTCCCGGCAGGTTGCGGGTCATGCAAGCGCACCGTGTAAATAGCATCGGCTGGTCTCAGTCCAATGACGATCCCTGATCCGAACTTGGTCTGCACGTCGGTGCCTTCAAGCGCCTTGGGGTAGAAATCAATCATATCGGCATTCAGGTATGCGATAGCGCCCCATACGAGCTGAATTTGCGCCGATCCGCGCTGTGGGTCCACCGACAGGATGTGTCCGGCGCCAAATTTGGTGATCACGGGTTGTCCCTGGTGGTATTTACTCGCTACAAAAGTGTACGAAGTCGTGGCAATGTTCTTGAGCAGCGTCAACCCTGCAACTGCTGGAGGCGGGCTGGCACTGGAGCGTCTAAAGCGCGTACGTCTCGACTCCCAGTCCACGTTGCTACCCTCCGACATTCCCCGCGGACGCCGAGGCTCCGATTCGCGTCCATTCTTATTGATGTCTGCCACTCGGACATCTGAGGGTCGAAGCTGGAGTTCGTACTCACCAAGACCGCCGCCTGCTCCCAAGCGTAGCGTGTACAGCTGCTCACGGACGTCGTACTTCAAAACGCGTCCGGATCCGGACGGCGTGCGCACGCGCTCGCCAACGAGCGCTGGAACGACCTGCACCTTTTCCATGTCGGTAGCATTGAGGAATAACAGTCCAGACGCCTGTAGTTCAATGGCAGCGACGCCGTCGTCTCCTCGGATCGCCATGATCTTGCCAAGTCCGAAGGGTGTGGCTACGCGCGCGCCTGCAGATTTTGTGGTCAGATCCTGCTCCGAGACGGCATCCACGCTGCGGGAGTGCGGCTTCCGGGGCGTGGACCCTGGTGTCTTGGGCGTCTGGCGGGGCTTAACGAGGAAAAGCTTGGAGGACGTAAGCCCTGCACGCGCGAGCGAGTAGACGGCCTTGAGCGCCGGGCGAGGCGCAGAATCGGCGTCACTTTCACTCTCGGGCTGCGTGTCCAGTCGGCCCTTGCGCGGCACAGAGGGGCATGATTGCTGTCGACGCAGATAGGGAGCCCCGGACTGGCTGGACTCGGCGCTCTCGGTCTCAGATAAGTCGTCGCAAGAGTCTTCCATCTCGGAGGTGGCGGTGGGTGCGCGCCGCGGTTTCGTCTGCTTGGCGGTGGAGTTGCTAGGCTTCCACGCCAGCATATCGGACAGCGACGCTAGCATTGTCAAGTCTGTGGTTTGCTCTCTGCTCGGAAATGCGCAAGTGCGAAGGATGCGCCAGGAAGATGGAGAATGCTCTTGAGTTCACTGGCGCGTCTGCCGCGGGGGGCCTGGCTTTACTATCGGGAAGAGGAAGGTGGGAACAACCGCGAGAGAGAAAGAGCCGCCTGAACTTCGGTGCGAAACTGCCTTCTGATGGCCGGGCGCAATGGCAAATGACTCGAAGCACGACTTGCCTCAAGCGAGGAAACATCTACTGTATCGAGTCGTCGTCGTGGTGCTGCCTGGAGGCGTCAAGGCAAATCCACTCGAACCAGAGCCCTAGCATTACTATTGCCGGCTTCTGTGCACGGCGATAACCCATCAGTGGAGAATCTCCACTGGACTCCATCCACACTCCATATTGGAGATCCATCTTTCGGCACCGGTGAGAAGTTTGCATTTGTAGCCTATTTGAATGTGTTTATATTTTTCATCGAGAAGGTCGTTTCCATTTGAATTTCAAACGTTTTGTTGGCACAGGCGAGAACGGGATACATCCTGAGTCCGTACACGTACAATCACTGATCTGTGTGCCGCTCAACCACCCGAGTACAGCATATTATTAATAGCTGCAATTGCTGCTATTATACGTGGACATACACTAAGAGTGTGCGCTTCATGTAGCCGTTCCGAACTGCTGCTGTTAAGCCTCTCCGTCGGGGAGTCCCCGATAGAAGTAATACTTGTATTAAAACTAGCCTAGGTACAAGTATAAATTGGCCACGACCCGCCCACTTGCGTCCTGCTGCTGGCCCATCGACAGTTTGGTTTTCAAGCCATAATATTTCCCAGAATTTTTTGTTTCGGAGCTGCCATACATGTATGTACCTCAAAACTATTACTTGAAGTATTAATTGGCTCGGACCGGATCCTTTCGTGCGCACTGCGCAAGCGCCTACGTTTCAATACAATTAATTTAATAGGCGGAATACATACCAGTACCCGCTGCCACCACCTCGCTTCGAGCCCGCGAGTCCACTCGATGCTCAACAGACGAGAGCAGCCCCACTGGAGCTGGAGCCTCCAGCGTCGCGTGCGTGCTCGAGGGGTGGCTTGCTTAGAGAAAACGCATGCGTGTGTGCCTCCACAACGCCCCAACCGCTTCAAGATATAGAAATCTGTGAATTGCTGTTTCGCGATACCAGGTCGATTGTGTAGCCATGTCAGGGTGTGAATTAACCGAGAGTCGTACTTAAACAAAGCTGGTTTGTGCACCCTCACTCACGACTGGAATGAATGTGAAACCTCTGTTCAAGGGAATTCATGTTCTGTACATCGAGGGAGGCATGTTTCGACTTGCTGCAACACACCACACATCGAGCAGCTCTTCTTCCCCACGCGGCTATTAGGTCACGCTAAGTTGAAGCCTCTGTCCGGTTAATCCTTTCACTCTGATAGCGAATAGCAATGAGCGCTGGTCGAAGTGTGTGGAGCCGGTCAAGCAACAGCGCCGCCGCCGTGGCGTCTGTAACGTCGCCTGTGGCTGTGAAGCTGCACGATGTGATGGACGAGGAGCTGGCGGTCAAACTGCAGCGCGAGGAGCAGGAGCAGTGGGAACGCGAGATGGAAGGCCGGTTCGGCGGAGAAGACCGTCAGACTGGATGGTGTTTTGTGGAGGTGCCCAGCTCTAGCTCCGGTAACGGCGTCATGAGCGTCATCCAACAGGAGGTGACAGTGGAGGACGCACAGGATAATAATGACCCGGATTACACTTTCGCTCTCGAGCTCCAGGCTCAAGAGGCTGAAGAGTACGACCGTATGCGGCGCCAGGAGGCCTCGTCCATGGAACGCATCCGTGTGATCCAACTAGAGGACCCCAAACGCGAGGAGGTCCGCCAGACGCTCCAGCGCTATTATGATCGAGAAGCTCATCGGGAGTTTGATCAGGACGATCCGGTAGAGGTGCGCACGGTGCATCATGGGGACGATATGCCGATTACGCACGCGGTTACTGCTGTCAGTGTTCCTGCTGCTAAGCCGGTGCCATCAGTTGAACGGCCTCGTCTCGGCGATCCTGACGTCTACCACGACGTCTACTTGGACGGAGCAGGTTGGCGAGTACCGAAAAAGCCAGCAACGAAGCAGTCGGATAGAAAGAACCGCCACCACCGCTCCAAGAACTCGTCATCGTCCAATGGAAGTACATCTAGCAACCGGATTTGAACGACGGCAACAAGGACGATGCTGTTTACTTGCAGACATCGTTCGTGCTTCGTTGGATGGAGCCCTCGACGCGGGGCCTTGCTGCCCTTTCGTCCTCCACACACAGGTAATATTAGCAAATTAAGTAATTCTCTACTTCGCGCGAGGTGTCCGCCAGGCAGCGCCTCGCATCAAGTCGCCCCGATGTCAGATAGTAAACGTGCCGTTGGTTGGAATTCAAGTCACTTTTGACACGCATGAAAGTACCAGTTTCTGTCAAATCCTGTCTAAACGCTTATACGATGCGTTATGACAGGTTCCTGAGTCCCACCAACCAGGAGCTCATTTTCCCCCTTGGGACACGGACCGAGCCTACCTGAGTCGCCACGCACGTCTAGGCGTGTCCTCTCCCCCTTACCTGCTCCTTCCGTACTGCTTGACTTCTTCGCTACCGTGTGGAGACACTCGCGGAGCCGATGATCCGCACGACTGCGCCGGCAACGGCCACGTCGACGCCAGCGCGTCAAGACGACCACGACGACTGGGAGACCGCGGCCGACGGCGCATCCAACGCCCGAGCTCCCGGGTCAATATCTATTGCAGCGAGGCCTCAGACTCAAAGCGACGTGGACGGTGCAACACGCGCCATGCAGGGCCTTCGGATTCTGCAGCCACCTCCAGCTACCGACGACGGTGGCAACTATCCACAACAGCAGTTTGATGGTAGCGCACCGGTTGGAACTGCCACTGCCAGTGCTCATGGACCATTGGACCCTGTGCTTGTCGCAGGACTAGAGAATGCACGCGAAAGGATGACGCTGCTCAAATTCGAGGACCAGATCGTACGCTTCCTCAAGAACCCGAGGGAGCCGCACCTCAACTTCCCTCCGTTGTCGTCGTACCATCGGCTCATTATCCATCGCTTGGCGCAGCGCTGCGGATTGGAGCATCAGACTGCGGATTACAATCCGTACGAGAACAGTTCGGCACGGGTAGTGACGCTGTTTAAAACCGCGCAGTCGGCTGTGCCCCGTGTGCTGCTGATCGACCTGTCGCCGGATCGACAGACGCCGACTGTGACGCCAGCGTCTGCACCGAAGATTATGATGCGAAAGCGTAGCGCACCCAGACCCGGTGCCAACGGTGGACGGGGTAACGGCGCCGACAAAGCCACACCAACTTTACAGGACCGTGAGCGCGCGTACGCTGAGGCACGAGCAAGAATTTTTGGAGAAGACAATGGAAACGCCGTGGTAGAATCAGTTTCTACTTTCTCACCGTCATCAACGACTTCATCGGCGCACGAAGGAAGTGGAAGTGGTGTTAACAATGGGCCCAGACATGGGAGTCGACAAGCTGTAGGACCGGATGGTAGCAGGGGGTTTGGTCGTGGTCGAGGAGCTTCTCCATCCTCTGGAAACCCAGGTGGGTTTCATTCTCGCTCTCCCAATGAGCAACCAAGCAGCAATGACAGTAACGAATACCCCCGACCGTCCCAACCAAGTGCTCTGAATGCTGCGAGCTGGAAAGAAAGCAAAGTCTTGTGGCGCAACCGTGAACAGGAGCTGAACGACCCGGATTTTACGCGTAACCACGACGCCTTCCGTCCTCGCTCTAGCGGCGGAGCGTCGAGTGGAAGCGGCAGTGGAGGCGAGTCGCCACACTACGGCAACCGCTTCGGTGGCGTGGGACGATACGAGTATCAATCCCAGCAGTTTGATCGATCCTATGGATATCAACAGACTGGCGGTGCTCCACCTCCACCTCCGCCAATGCCCATGGGATCGGGACGCGGCCGCTATCAGGTTGGCGGTCCCGATTACAACAATAGAGTAGACACCAACCAGTACCAGAGGTCCCCGCACCAGCAGTACCTCCCGCAACAGCAATTCCAACAACAGTTGAACCCGTCTCCGTCCATGGTAATGGGCCGTGGTGGGTACGGGTACCCTTCACCCCAAGGCCGACCGTCGGCGCGGCAGGGAAACTGGGTGCCGCCGCATGCCAATACTCGCGCAGTGGGCAACGGCAGTGGGTTTATCGAGGACGACTTCCCGCCACTCGGCAAGTAACACGCCTTAATGAATCAATACAAACAACTACTTCAGTACACCAAACACTGCTTGATGATGCCTTGTCGAGTGGAGCCAGCAATAATCTCTTGTTTAACATTGACTGAGTCCGACCGTGCCAATAAATATCTGGTGCGCGCCCCGGTTGAAGTGCGAGTGGGTCACGACACCGTGGTCTATCGTTGCTTGACGTCAATGTCATGGGCTAAAGGTTTGCCGCTGCCACCGCCGCCAAGGCGTAAAGCTGCAAGCGAAAAATACATGGCAAAAAGTCAGTTAATGAAAACATCTTCGGTATTTAGAAATGATTCAGCGCACCTTGGCGTCGCTGCAGCTTTTTATCTCGGAGCTTCTTTTTCCTTGCAAGCTCCTGTCACGTCAATGTAGCGTTAGACACGCCCGCCGAGTGTACCAATCGATTCTGTTTACCTTTTTCGTTTGCCACATAGTGAAATATTTCTTTATGGTGGCATCGTCGTCCTCTTTTTGCTGGGAAAGCCACGGCTTTGTTCTGAAATCAAAAAGAAACAACAGACACAGGTGAGTGAGTATCTTAACGTTACTTTCACGCCTCATCGCCATCCTTACTCGTCCATGATTTTGCGGAACTTTCGCTTGGACTCATTCGTCTGCTCAATGCAGACTCGAAGTTGACGCTGCAGTGAGCGAATCTCCTGCGAAACTTCATCGTCCTTTGTACTAGACAAGCTGATCTGAGCAACTTCCTTGTCATCACCCTCAACCAATCCGATATCGCGAAGAACGCGAGTAAGTCCTTTGGGTTTCCACGATTTGATATCATCCGGGTGCAATAAAGAGTCCATCTCCATGCTGGCTTCCTTTTTACTTGTACCATTGGAGTGTTTGTCTTCATCGTCAGGCTGACAGCAAGATGCTTCTTCTCCTTCTTTCAGCGATGGGGGCAAATCTACCGAGCACAGCGACGCCACAAGTCTCTATCCGCACCAACATGAATCTTGTCGTTAAACAATGACGTAACTCAGCATAAAAGCATTCAACTTACCTCCTTGAAAAAATCGTCGAGATCTTGCGGGTCAGACTTGTTCAAGCTCGTAATATCCTGAAGTCGATCGAAATCGAGACCCGCTAATACTTCTCTCCTGCCTTCGCTAGATTCTAAATCGTCAGAAAATGCGTTTGGATCTACAAGACCTAAAGTCAGATGAATGAAATAAACTAGCAAAGCCAGCTCTAACCTTACCCTCGAGCAATAAGGCCTGCTCCATGTCATCCGGTGTGATCGTCTTAAAGAACGAATACGCATACAAATACTTCCATAGCCCAGTCGTCGTGCACGGTGTATCTGCATGAACCCCGCACAGCGTAAGCCTTCATAACAACTCAGCATGCCTTAGCAAAACACCACTGACCCAAGTTAATATCTTCTTCCACTAGCGCAGGTGTTGGTGGCTCCGATTCACTTTTGGAAATTCCACTGAACTTTCCTGCAACAGCAGCCCCGTTGCCAGCGACACCATGTCTTCTACCGTCACCAGCAAGCGGCGCCATAACGTCGGACGTTTCCTCCACGTACATAATCAAGTGAGGCGGGAGCATATTGGAGCTCTTGCCGTCCAGATAATTCGTGATGGCTAGCAACTGAGTGTCCAGCTGTGCCAATTGCTTATCCATATTTGCGCGTCCTCGCTGCAACATTCATGATTTCAACTTAGTCTCCACAGTCCAAACACCAATACTACCACAATATTTCAGCATTGCGACAATACAGAAGGCATAACAGTCCGAGATATACACACCTTGAGCTCCTGGACAACCTTAATGAGCGAGTTCTTGCTGCCCACGACGAGTCCGTCGCGGGAGCTGCAGGCCTGCTTGGTAGCAGGAAATTGCTCGTGCTGCAGCCATGGCACGTGTAATGGCGCGATTTCCCGCCGAGTGGAGGTGGGTCGACTCATCTTCCGCGTCGGCCGTCCACTGATAATAATGCTGGTATCGGCGCCGCGGTGCAGAGATGTCCACCGTGTCGCCTTGTACATACAGCGATAGTGCAGGTACCGTTATATAGAAAACAGTACCGTACTGGTCTCATTAAATACGACAAATTAAAAATGTGTCTGCCACACAATACTGCAGTGATTGGCTGAAAAGCAAAATACATAGTTTGATTGGATGAAAACGGGTAGGCGCGAAAATGCGCTGAACGGCGGAGAGTACCGTGGGGAGGCCAGTAAAGAGAAAGTTACTCTCCTCTCTTTTTGACCAGGAAACTTCGCAACTTCGAGTTGAGCATGGCGCGCGGTAAAGCTGACCGAGCTCTGACGGTGGGCAAGAAGCTCGAGATCATCGAGGAGGCCGACCGCACAGGTCTCATCTCCGCCACAGCGCAGAAATACGGCGTCAAGACGGGTCAGATCCGCGACTGGAAGAAAAACATTGACCGTCTACGTGCCACAGACCCGTCGCGCCTCGTGTGCGCCAGTACCATCCAGCGGGGTCACCTGGTTTTCAACGAGACCTACGCGCAATATTGGGTGGGCTACAACAAGTTCTGCAGCAGCAATACCAACTACGATGATCTTAAGAGCGCGCTGCGCGTCACCCACAAGGACGTGCTTCGCGAAGGTGTCAGTGAGTCTCCAACCCTTGGATTTCTACGGTAGCTATTGCCGCACTTGTTCGACAGCGTGACTTATTTGTATTGTGCAGATGGATTTAGCTACCCAGCGATGGTGGATCCGAGTGCTACACACGAGTTGGCGTCTCCCGACAACAGTACGTCGCAGGAGTTCATTTCAGCTCAAATATGTATGGGTTATTAATTATCTGTGCCACTGTTGCTGTGCAGATGGCTTCTACACGACGGAGGAAGTAAAAAATCTGTACGTGAAGGACATGACGACGTTGCGGGAGCAGCTGCGCGAGTTCTTCGGCCAGAAGCCCTTCCCCACCAAGTACATGTACTTTGTCACAAAATTGGATTTCGTTAAGCCCAATCCGAACGAAAACGCTGGGGAAGAGGAAGATGGGGACAGGGCGGCCGAGAAACAGACGGGAATCGAGGACGTCATCTCATTCTACGTCGCGATCTGTGGCAACGGGTCCGTGATGGTCCCAATGTCGCTTTTCCCGCCTGTGGAGGAGTGGCACTGGGAACGCAAGAAAAACGTCAAGCTGCGTCATGCGCACAGCTTGCACCGCTCCAAGATGAACGACCCGAACGATGCACTGCAGTTTTTTTCGGTGGTATGTGAATATTTTATTTTATTCGGATTTTTTTCTTTAAGCTGACCTTTTATTATTGTAGACGTGGAAAAAGTTTTATGAGGAGGAAGCCAAGTACAGTGACAAGTTCGCATTTCTGCTTGATTACTCGATTGAGGAGTTTAGAGCTCCCGAGTTCTTGGAAGGTCTGAAGCAGCTGGAAGGCTACAACAAGTACTGGACCACCTTGTACACGGTGCGCAACCCACTGCGTCTATCTCGATTCGAGGACACGCTCTCAACGTTCGTGATCGAGGAGTGGCGCACTATCCTCCAGATGAAGAAGTCGAGCCAACCTAATGACTATCGCAAGTGCGTCGCCTTTTGGTTCTACTCGGCGTGGGAATTCTTCGCAGGCGACAATGCACGTGCAGCTTTCCGAAGCTGCAACATGTATCTCGAGGACAAGGCTGCATGGGGTGTGGAGACTCGAGAAAACTCGGTGTGAGTGAAGCTTCTGAACATTCTTTTCGCCATTCTCGTGTTGTACTCCACCTCTGCATTCTTTGAACCAGCACTTAATTTTGCTGTACTGCGTTGTCGGAGTCAATGTACTCTGCTTGACTCACACCTACTCTTCTATAGTTGCTTCATCAGCATCGTCGTTCTCGTCCAAGGCCATGTCTTCCGAGTCGGATTCTCCCTCTTCGTCCGCTACCTCAACTGCCTTCTCTTTATCATCATTGGCTTCTTTGTCGTCCAACGAGGGGAAATATTCCTTTGCGAGCAGTGCAAGACGCTGAGCAGCCCACTGTGCCTCGACGTCTTTGCTTTTCGTTTGGTTGGAAGCAACAAAGTCGAGGTTTTCGTACGACAATTTGCCAAATTGCACCGAACTCGAGAGATCCAGAGTCTTGAGCTCATCCGAGGCGCTGACGTTTGTGTCGACTTCCACTATGAGCTTCTGTCCCAGGTAAATCTTCGTGGAGTCGGGAATTGAGTTCCACTGAAGTAGCTTTTGGACGCTCGTACGGTACATCAGAGACAGCGAACGTAGCGTTTCTCCAGCTCCCACGATATGGTACTTCTTTCTGTCGGCTCCAACACCATCTCGAGTTTGCCAGAACCACAATCGCACCTTGCCATCGGCGGACATGCTGATCAACCGGGTACGATCGCACTGAAGATCAAGTATGCCGTCTTGGTGACCATACATCGTTTGGATGAGATGTCCCGTGGCAAAGTCGATGACACAGATCTGTCCATTACTCGCTCCACTTATGATGCGTGTGGCATCAAACTGAAGGCATGTTACTGCCACATCGCAATGGACATCGCAGATCCGAAGTAATTTATTGTCCGAGTCCAGATTCCAGATAACTATCCTGCCGGAGGTATCGCCACTAACGATTTCATTCGCTACTCGTCGCACACAAGAGACAGGAGCGAGATGTCCGTTGAAATACTCGTCGCCACGACGATCTGCTTCGAGACAGCATAGTAATTTTACATTACGCCGTGCTGTGAATTGCGAAGCCTTGCCAAGTTCCCACACTTTGATCTTGTTATCGCCAGCTCCTGTTGTCAGTGCCGACTTGGCACTCTGTATGGACAGAGTAGTCACCGTGCGATCGTGGGCGGAAATGATGTGAGCGATTGTTGCCAACGACTCAGCGTCGAATACGAACACATCGCAGTCCGAGCATCCACAGGCAAACCACTGTGTATCAGCTACCACACTGACCACGGCGGCGTCAAAGTCCATGAGCATTCGAGTCAAAGAGCAGGAAAACCCACCGATCGATTCATTCTTGACATCCCAAACACCCAACGAGGCATCTGCAGACCCGGTGTAGATCCGGTGGCCAATGTAGTACACGCAAAGTATTTGAGCTTGATGACCTGTAGGTTCACCGAGATGATTTTTCTCTGGGTCGCCTACTGCTTGTGCTAGACAAGCGCCAGACAGGAAGTCAAACAGTAACCCATTCACCCCCGCAGACGCGACGCACGTGGTGATGCCGTGACTTGCCGTTCCCACGACGTTTTTCAGAGCTTCGTTTGTGGCATTGAAGCGGAAACACCGCAGTTTTTCTCTGGATAAAACTTTGCGCATGAGTGGCCCCGTCTCGACTGCCAATTCCTCTTCCAGGCTTTTGATCTCATCCTCAGCGTTACTGATTCGGATTTTAGCATTGGCAATGTCTTTGTTGACTTGTTCCTGACCAGCTCTCACACCACCCAATAGTTTCGCCAATTTCTTCTTGAAATCTTCAACGTCGTAGCGAGCGTTCGAGCCACTGATGACTGTCGAATCAACCTGAGTCGAGTCGCTAGCAAGTGCTCGTTTCAGATCGTCTTCTCCTTTCGCTAGCAACGCTTTCTTCTCCGATAGTAAGATCTCTAAACTCGATATGAGTTTCGTTTCCTCGCGAATATCGAGTTTGCGTTGAATGCGCTCCCTCCTCAGCCTAGGAACAATGGGACCAACTCGTTCAAGAATAATTTGGCAAGAGGGTTCAGCCCCTGCCCCCACTAATCGTTGCTGGAGCTTGTTCATCTTCTGACTGGCGGATGAGAGTTTTTTTGCCAGCACAAATTCAATATCATCAGCGTGATGTCTGTTAATTTCAGCCATTTCTCGATCTTCAAGTCGTTCGTACACGTGCTGCAGCCCACGATAGCATGACAATTCGCCCTGAGTATTCCTCACAGCTTCAAACAGTAGCAAAGCACGCTCATAGTTTTCGATACTAATTCGAAGCGATCGTAGTAAACGTTGTATATCCGCTATGCGGAGCAGTGCAGACCCCTCTTCGTAGCAAAGCCCTGCCCGGTTTGCCATAATTGAAGCTCGGTTAAATATCGTCAATGCCTGCTCGTGGTTCTCAAGGCGAAACGTAGCTTCTCCGATCTTAAGCTGCAGTTGGACTCGCTGGGCCTCCGTCATCTGCTGCATCCAGAGATCATTGCCAAGGACGAAATTGTACAAGCGAAGAGCGCTTTCATAGTCCTGCAAATTCCCCTTAGCGTCACCTTCCAATAGGAAGTAGAAGTATTTCTTGTTTTGTTCCCGAGCCTGTTCCAGATCAGCATTACACTCCGCCAGAGGTTTCTCGGTTTTGGATGCCAGCTGTTGCTCAGTCGTCCAACGAATGTCTTGCAAAGAAGTTCCAGTTGATCGAAGCTCGTGAAGCAGTTTTTGGGTTTCAATCATGAGATCATCACGACCAAGAGCAGCGTTCAGTAAGCCAATACTGCCAATGCCAAATATCTCGCCAACCCCAGCACTTGTACGCGTCAAATACTTTGCGACGTCTCTCCATTGCTGGACTGCACTCCTGAGCCGATGGTTGACGAGGCGGTTGATCGCGGTGCAAATTTTTCTTCGTATTTCGTGAGCCTCTTTCCTGTTGGAGACAAAAGCAGCAAAAGCTCGGTACAGCAGACCACCACGTAGTTTCGCTAACGTAGCTGCAGTTCTCGTACTCTCCGCTGTGTTTCTGGGGCTGCTTTCGAATACCCCCAGAGCTTCCTGTCTGTCTTTTAACCTCTTGAGCAACGTGTCACGACGCTTAATGTCAGCACGCAGGTAGTTTTCCACTAGAACGATTTCAGATTTTGTATCTAAAATATACAGTTGGTCAATCTCGACTTCATCCTCCAGTGCAACAATCAACTCCTTTGTAAAGAATCGCTGCAATCCATTTTCAAAGACATCGGAGTCCATTTGAGGCCCCTTGAACATCCTAGCACGCTCCAACTCAGCTTGTTTCTCGAGAATTCGCGACTCGGCAGATCGTATCAGCGCCACTAGATCAATCTGACGATCCTTGCACCACTGGACATTGTAATCGGCTTTCTTGAGATCATTTCGAATCGCAGCAACTCGAAAATGAAATTGCCGTCGACGTTCGCACACTTTTTCCTCATCTGTGAGATCGTCAAACTGTTTTTGACCAGTAGCTTGTTGAATGGCTTGAGGTTGCTGGTCTTGATCGTTCGCTTCTTCGTTTTCTTGCTTGCTAGTCTCTGTTCGATTGACTATGTCGCTTACCTTTGTCTCCAGCTCTGGGTGCATGGATAGAATAAACCGAGACACCTGTTGGATGTAGTGATGCCGTTCATATCGCTGCATAAACCCACTCAAAAACTGCGAATCCACGGTACGTGAACGGGAATTTACAGCCGCTTGCAGCTCATCGAGAAGCTTGAACTCGTTACCCGGAGCTAATGCAAAAAACATAATTGAGATTATGCGAAGCAGAGAGTGCAAGTAACATGCCTTACCTATTGTGAAGATGGACTTGATAGGCTCGCAATAGTCACCCTGTATACCTTCGCTGTTCACAGCTCGAACTTGGAAGTTAAGGTGCTCTCCCCCACTCAATAAGTTCGTAATCGTCAGTGAAGTTCTCGTCGAGTTTGTCCGTATTCGACGAGGTCTGTACTCGATTTCGGATACATTAAGCCAGGCTTTTCCTCTGTCGTCCACGTTGTCTAAATTGATTATTGCTTCGGAGAAAATGACTTCGTAGTCCTGAACGGACCTGCCACCATCATCAAGAGGCTCCACCCATGTGAGTGTGATACTTGTCGCACTAACTACCCCCACGCATAGAAACAACGGAATTGATGGAGGGATGGCAGGTTGTGTTCGTATGATTTCTACTTTGTTGCTTGGTTCGCTCTTGCCGGCGACTGTAATTACACAAAGTGCAAACTCGCCATACTCCTGATCCGCTGATAGGTTGATCAATCGATAATTATCTCCAGGAATCGGATTCACCAAACACCACTGCGACAGCCGCAAAGGCGGTTGAGGGTCAAATTGTCTCTGCTGCTTCGTCTTGGAGTGGACAACAGCGTAGCTCAATTCGTAGTCAAGAATGGCATTCGATCCGGTAAAAATCGGTGGGTCCCACACTATCGCTAGCGCATTATGCGTAATTTCCTTTAAGTTAAGGCGAAGGTTGCGTGGTGGTTGTGATACAAACCTCGTAGCCACCGGTGCATCTGGTGTCTTTTTAATCGTCGGAAGCGAAAGGGAATTCTGACTTTGGAGCTCCAAACTGTCTGCGATTTGATTCATTGGCTGTAGATCTAGAAGTGACACCCTGGTACAGTTATCCTCGTGGCTTTTGGCAATTCCAGGGAGATACTGTCGTCCACAATGTCGACACGACTTGGTATGAAGTTGGTGCTTTCTGATCTCCTCTTGGCTGCCAAGTTTCGTTTTAGCAAACGTTTTTTCATCTGACGAATCATGCAACGCCTTGGATAATCTCAGTACACGCCGTTGGAGTTCATCGAGCTCTTCAGTCTTCTGTCGAATCTGCAACTGAGTTTCTCCAATTCCTTTACGCAATTGTCTTATGAGAAGAAAAAAATAATTATTACAAGTGGGAATGTGGCCACGACAGTAAATATCCTTGTAGCTTACCGGACGTTGCTCTCGATAACAAACTGTTGATCGCAATATTTCAATACCGAATTGTGCTGTGATTGTGCGTCGATCAGGTCCATTCGGATCTCGTGCGCTTCATGCTTTGCGTAAACGAGTTGTGGGAGACTCAGCGTAAGCGCTGGCAGCGGGGAGCTCAAGACATCGGCACCAGCGCGACGGCGATTACCCACACGCCGCCGCAACTCGCGGGCTCGACTCTCAGCGTTAATACCAATGATGGAAGGGCCACCTCCCTCCATCGTTGGCTGCTTTTACTAAAAACGCTCTAGTACGATAAAAACTTCAATGACCATCATTCTCGAGCTTTTTTTAAGAACAATTATATTAAAAAAAATGCAGACAGCTCAAACTGCGAAACGGAATGCGATGACGCCAACGAGACGGAGTGGTGGCTCGTATATTTAGCAACTGTAGGGGGTTGAATGAGTTTTCAGTGATCAGGAACTAAGTAGAGGTGATCGATCGATCGACCAAGCATCATGGCCGACGTGTTGAGCGAAAGTCAGCAGGCATCGGGTATTGTGGAGATGGAGGCGGCTTCTGCAAACAATGCGCCTCAAGACGTCGAAACGGGAGACGTCGGAGAGGGGAGTGATGGTGTAGGAATGATCATTGAGCCACCTGTTGAAATGCTTCATGAAGCGGCACTACGCAGTGGAATCAATTCCATCTTGGACGAAACAGCCGGGGACGATGAAGACCTGGCGTGTATCCGAGAAATCTGCCAAGAGACTTTATCCAAAAGGGACCAAGTGACTGCTGCAAAGAGCATCGCTCACCGTCAGGAGCTTAAAAGTGAGACTACAGACGGCTATGGGGAGAATACCGAAGCTGTAAACTGGAAAGCTTTCTCCCCACCAAAGAACGCTCCGAGGACGCTAAGTAGACCAAAGCTGAATCGACGCCCGAGCTACGACAGGTAACATTATTTAAAGTTGCACGTCATTCTTTGGCTTACTGAAGCTTACAACTGCTTTTCCAGTATACCGGCAGGTGAAATGCCACGTTGGAAGATCATAGACGGAAATGAAGGTCCCATCACGGATATTACGGTGAATTTTAGAGGAGATTCCGTTCCAGAGGGGTTCACTAAGGTACGCTCTGCAGCTGCGATAAATACACTTTAGCACTAACACGCGCACTGAATTGAGCAGTTGGAACGATCTCCTAGTGGCCAGCGAGCAGATCTGAATAAAGGGGGGAGAGGGTCCGCTATCTATCTCTGTCAAAGCAAAGATCAGTCCTCGGGGAAGGCTCCCATTAGCGAGATCATTGCTATTTTTCCTGAACGTGGCGAGTTCGTCCCTACGAATTACGAGGTGGTTCGGAGGCGTGGCGTTCCAGCGAATATTAACACGGTAAGGCAGTCGATGGTTTTTGTTCAAATTCCAGAAACTTATACTACGCTTTAATAGGGAACACAAGGGGAGAAGATCTACCTCTGCTTTAAACGCTCTTCCACTTCTGCGATTGTCGATTTAGCTGTGATGTTTCCTAGGAAAAATGAAACTCTTCCATACGGGTAAGCATAGCAACACGGTGGCTGCTGATTGCTGTAAGTAATTGGAATCATGTTTGTCTTCAGGTACATGAAAGTGGACAAATCTCCATTTGGGCATGTTGCTGATCTCAACTCGAATTCTGGTGGCACAGAAGTTTTCCTAGCCTATAAGAAGAAGGTACACATCTACTTCATGCATCACTTGTTCGACGGGGTTTTAAAAGTCTCTCCCAATCCACTCAGGTGGTCAGTATTAATGATCTGCACAAAAGGTGGCTGTTTGCCTCTGTCACTTCGCCACAAGTACTCGAGCGAGCTCGGTCACCACCCTTGACTCCGTCTGCACCCCGCAAGTTGAGACACCTCAGGTCTGCGTTTGCTCTAAAAGCGACAGAAGTGAGGGAACAGGAGCTGATTTGTGCCCCCAACTCGCCGTCAGCCGCTGCTTCACCCGGCTCACCATTAAAACGTAGGGTGAATTGTATAGTGTACTCACAAAGTCTTGTCGCTAACCTTTTTGTGTTAATTACTGTGTATCAAGCAAAACAAGTTAGCTGGAACGAGACGATGGAGTATTACATGTATCCATTGCTACTAGCATGTTACACCCGCCAAGGGAATACTGCTGAAGCTGCCGTTGAAGGACTGACCCATTGCCTTGAGGAAGGTGTATTCGACAGTCCCGGATCTGAACTTTGCCAACTTGACGTAGTGGTCGACGCCGTCACTTCGATCTGTCAGCAGGGGGTCAAATGTCGCTTTGAGTCTGCGCTCAAGTTCTTCCAAAAGGTATCGCGTGTCAAAAGTGAACTGTGTTTTTGTCCTGGTATACTCAGTCGGATCATGTGTTTATCTTGTGCAGGTTATTCGAAAGTACGCAGACGCCTTTGACCCCTCTGTGCTTCACGTAATACTAAAGGCCTTAACCTTCATTGGAGACTTTGACGGCTCACTCACCAAGTCTATCGAAGACGAACTGATCTCAAAGATCATGTACGCTTACGAAGCTGCTTTGATCCACAAGAACTCCACTGTCGTCAAGAAGAAAGCGTCAAAGGAGATCGATCAATCGTCGAGTGCACTTGCACACGGGCTAGTTGTGGATCTCATTGACGACATAAGTACTGGCGCTGAAATTGCAACCATGACCGATACAATGCTGGGCGTGTTCAAGGTAAAGTGTTGCAGGTGTCAATACTGCCCCGACATCCTAGCTAACCTTTGTTTCGGTTTCGTAGAGTCATTTGTCAATGCAGTCGCCCTCGTTTTGCCACGACATCTCAGCGGCGATGAACCTTTTCGACAATTCCGAAGTAGGTTCCCTATTCAATACTTCGCAAGTGAGCTCGTGATGTTGATATCTGTGATACCGACTAGGCCGAGAAAAATGCGCTTCAACTGGTGGTGACGTTCAGCAAAGCTGTTAACCGCAAGTTGGTGAGTCTGAGTGAGACGGCTACGGAAAGCGACCAATTCTCCAGTGTGAGCTCTCTTCGGGCGCTTAATCAGACCCTCCTTAGTGCTGGGACGCGAGCGCGTGAACAACGGGTGTTTGGGCAAGTGGTTCGAAGGTTTGTGCTATCAACACTAAACGCCACCGTGCTCACGTGGGTACCGGATGTATTTCGAGCGAATCTCACACTAGTGTCGACACTGTGGAACCATTATCGCCGGTATCTTAAGGTGGAGCTAGCACTGATGTTCGAGCATGTTCTGCTTCGCATTCTACGGTCCACCGCACCCTGTACGAAGAACCACCAGCTGGAAATCATGCACGAGGTGACGAACTGGCTGCAACTGCCGCACAATGTCGTTGAGATATTTCTCAACTTTGATCTGGATCGAATTCAACAGTGGAAGATTTTTGAGCATTTGTGCTCGACATTAGGCTCGATAGGAGAGGGAAGCGTCGGTCACCTTGCGAATGGAGACGAGGGGGATGACTCTGCTTTGGAACTGCAAAACCAAGCAATCAATACCATTTTGGCTATGGCTCGTAGCGTTATGGACGCTAGTGGCCACGCACATCTCATAAGCCGAGACCGACGTACTCGTATGCTATCGATGCTAACTGGAGGTTGGGAGCAAGACGAATCGGGTGAAGAGGCCTCACCGTTAAGGGATGCGTTCACTATGCTACCAACTGGAGACGTAGCAAGTCAGCCAGGCTCCCCGGCTGAGCCAAAACGGCAAACAAATCGCAAATTTGGAGGCAATATCTCGGTTCGCATGCGAAACGAGCTGCAGAAGCACAACCAACAATTACTAAAGCGTGCGATGGAGATTTCATCGTCGAAAAGCTTGAAAAAAGCTCTCGAATACTTGGTAGCTATGAATTTTATCAAGGACACACCTCGAAGTATCACGTCGTTCTTACGGATATACCACGATTTTTTCGACGAGACGGAAATCGGAGATTATCTAGGAGAGGGCGACGAAGATAACAAAGTTCAAGTTCGATTGACATACGTTCGAGCAATTTCCTTTAAAGGGATGACCCTCGTCGAGTCTCTGCGGCATTTTCTAACAAACGGAGGCTTCCGTCTTCCAGGAGAGGCACAAAAGATCGAGCGCATGGTGGAAGCCTTCGCGCAGTGTTACTGGGACGACTCTCGTACAGCGTTCTCCTCCGCCGATACGGCAATGATCATCGCGTATTCGATCATTATGCTCAATACCGATTTGCACAACCCGCAGGTAAAGAAGAACAAGATGTCAAAGGAGCAGTTTGTCAAAAACAACCGAGGCATTGACAACGGAAGCGACCTGCCGAAGCGATTCTTAGAGGAGATTTACGATGACATTGCACATAACCCAATGCACATCAAAGGTAGTCGTGTGATCCCGAAAGCCACTCGTGAAGCTGGCGTGTCTGCTGCAGATCTGGAAAACGAAAAATTCCGTGGTGGTATTGCCAAGGCTGTGGCTCAATCCGAAGAGCTGATGAAAGATCAGTCGCACACATACAACACCTTCCAGTTTGTCGGCGTCGACACGCCCATCAGCCCGGATTTGATCAAACTTCTCTTCGAACGCGTGTGGTTTTCCTTGCTTACTTTATCGACGACCATTCTGTGTGACAGCCAGTCGGATCTGTCTACCAGGATGCAGTGCCTCGATCTATTGCGCTTCTGCATCTCAACGTGTTTGTTCTTGAACATGCCAGTGGAACGTCAGGCGTTTTGCGGCCTACTGAGGAAGGTGCAGGATTCGTTGGAAGGTAAACCCCAAGAAGACAGCGAGGAAGACTCGGCCGACAAAGCCAGTAAAGCCATTCCAGAAGACACTAAGTACGAGTGGGTGCGCACCATCGAAGCTGCTGCTGCTAGCGACGATCCGTGGAAGGCCATGGGCGACATTCATTTACTCGTGAACGACATGAAGGAGACGATCCAAGTTCGTCAGAAATCCGAGAAGCTCGACTCGGTTATTCAGCGCATTCATCGCGCTCACTTTTACCTCAAAAACTCGACCACTTTCATCCACGAGGGCGACTTAACGAAGAAGTGTCGATCTCGCAACCAGCTTTACCGCTTCTTCCTTTTCAATGACCAACTGCTGTACGCTGACAAGAGCATGACTGGGAAGTGGAGTCCGCACAACTCGCTGCGTCTCAAGCTCACGCGCATTTCACACATTGGCGATGGCGTTCTGCTGAAAAACGCTTTCCAGATCCAAAACCCGATCAAATCTTTCGTCGTGTTCGCTGACAGTGCGACCTCCAAGGCTGAATGGATGCGGCTCATTGACGACGCCATCGCAGAGGCTTCCAAGAAGATCAACCGGACAGCACGCCGCATCTCGACACAAGGTCTGGGTGACACACGGGCTTCACTCGTGTCGTCGTCGGCAATGAAAGTTTTCCTACGCTTCAGCTCACCCATGCCGTCCCCCGTAGCCCGTGATACCCGTCAACTGAGTTTTGACAGTGACAGTGAATCGCCTGCGAAGCCTGTCGAGGGTGGTGAGTCATCAACGGCAACTGAAATTGGTCCAAGCAATGCTGCCGCTAAAGATACGAAGGAAGAGGAGATCAAAGCTGCAACCGATGACACAGGCGTTGATAGGTATCCCACTCCTTCTCAACAGACTGCGGTAACAAGTAGCGAGACAACACAACACTGAGAACTACTGAAGTTGCATAGAGCAAAAGATGATATTGAACATTCAATCACGAGATACTTTGAATTAATTTCTCGGGTCAGTTTTCGAGTTGTGTGGCTCTGAATCTGCCACCGATGCACGCGGCTAGCCGCGAGCAGAATAAATGAGAATACATGGACACATGTAGTTGGAAGAAAGTGACGCAAGCGGCCGACTGACGGCGGCATGATGATCGACGTGGGGGGTCTCTGAACTCCTCTGTGCAAGCCCTTAACTTAATCCTGGGCGGATCGAGTTAAGGACTTGCACAGAAACCCTCGATGTCAAAGAGGAACGGAGATGCACCAGCATTGATCATAGCTTCGTCACCAAAGGCGTGGAGCGACACAGCAGCAGCGTAATCTCCAGGCAGCACCGCAGTGGGCGCAGTTCCAACCATCTCTCCGTTTAGAGTGAAGAAGATCTGGTGCTTGTCGGCGTCCAGACCGCAGCCCACCGTGAATGTAGGGGTGTCGTCCTTCTGGTTGTTCAACAGGGCTGTAGTTCGGCCCCACGAGGGACCGAAGGCGCCCCACTCGCCTCCGTACGGCTTGGCGCCATCGTTAAAGACGAAGTCGCCATCATTGCCGTGGTAGGCGTAGGACACGCCCTTCCAGCCCACATGCTCTCCAGAGCCGAAGCCGAACGCGTTCCGGGTCGCCGCGTCGGAGACGGACGCGAGACCCACGCTTCCGCATCCTTTGAGGCTCACCTCATAGTATAAGATGTTCCTCTGTAGAGCGCGTGCACAGGACAGCACGGGCAGCTTCTGCACGCCGCGGATCGAGTCCACAGCGCCCTTGTCAAACTTGCGTAGCATCGAGTTGTTTACCACGCGGTACTTGCCGTCGGGCAAGTGGGTGATGGCGCTGCGCGTCGACAGCTCATAATTCGCGTCTGAGCGACGCGCAGTGCACAGCACAAGCTGGTCGCGGTAGGCCAGCTTCACGTACGTCTCCGGCAGCATCTTGGCACGCCACTGACGGCTGTATTGGCCCGTGAGCAACATCTCCGAGGCCTTGACGACTTCGTGGAAGGCCGTGCACACCTGTGCGGCATTCTGTAGCTCGTCCACCGTGAGGAACTCGAAGCAGAGTTCGAGGGCGGTCAGCTCGAGAGCCTTCCCGTCGCGCGTGTGGCGCCGCTTGAGACGCAGCGCAGCCAGCAGGTCCGCGACCTCGGACGCGTTCTGTGCGCGCTGTAAATCGCTCCAGCGGATGGAGGCCGGTTGGCTGTTGCGCTTAGTCACGGCGGCGTACGATTCGTACAGGACGCAACAGTCCTCAGGCTCGAGATCCGAGCCGTCCGACTCGTCGTCACTGCTGTTGCTGGCGGTGGAGCATGAGCTGGCGATACTGTAACGGCGACGCGAGAGGCGGCGGCTCGACGATTTCTTGGTCAGCACCACGAACGAGTTGAGGTGCTGCGGCCGTGACGACTTGGCTGCTACCGTGGGGGATGGCAGCGAGGATGATAAGAAGGCCAACATGCTCGTGTTGAAGTTGTGTGTATAGTGAGATGGGTGCGGTTTTGATGTGACAGTCGTTGTTGAGTAACTTGTAGTATTCCAGCGCGCTGGTCTTGTGCTGGTATTGCGCAGCGGCGACAAAAATCTCTCCCTTGACGCTCAGGGTTCTTTTTGGGAAATGAGCGAAACCCGTGTGATGGCTAGTGAAAGGTTGATTGCCGCGCGTTTCCGGTCGACTGCCTGCGAAACTCGATATTGCAGGCTTCAATTTGGTCTCTTCAACTTACGTACTGACGAATTTTTCAGTACTTGTCCATGCGCAAACGAAATGCCCATTAAATGGGCTTTTAATTTCCATTGTATTCCTTACTTCGAAGTACCTTTTATCTCTCGGTCTCAAAGGGTTGACCCTTTTAATTTTTGGAGACGCGCCCGGGAGGGTAACCCTTGGAGACCGAAGCCTCGATGCGCGTACACAAGCCTAGTGTACGCGCATCGAGGCTACGTCAACTATTAATAGCGTCACTAGCTAGTTTTGACAGTAAGTACTTGAAATCATACTTAAAATATCGATTGCTTTGTCAAGTTGCTTAACGAAATAGCGATACGTGTACTGTATTAAATATCACTTTTCATAATGTCGACGTTTTGGGCGGCGACATAGATTGTCGACAACGTAGAGCTTTTACGATTGTCTCACTCAAGTCGCATTTTACGGTATGTCATCCGATTAAAGGACACTTATTATAACGTCAATGCGGCGACAGACATTTTATCAAGAAATCTCATTTATTTGGATTTTGACATCAAGCACCGGAACGTCGTTGCTCAACGGAGAAATATGCTAAGCTGGAGCGGACCTCGCTTTTGGCAATGACAACTTGTCACGGTGTCATTGACAAGTACCTTCGCGAAGATACTCGCTGAAGAGCACTGTAGTACCACAACTACCTGCTGAGCAAATATAGTGCTCCACCTCAGGAAAACCTCATGTCGGCTTTCTCCACATTTCCGTAAATCGTCAAAAATGGGCTCAATGCATGGTTCCAGTACCCATTTCACTTTGTGGAAAGACCTGTAAAAACTTATTCAGTGTGGTGTTGAAGTTGTAGCGGCGAGATGGGCCACCTGAGCCCCTTGCGCGTTCTTTTTCGCGGCAAAACGGTGAATACATGTAACGCGCAAGTCCATTGACTTGGAATTTGTATGCAGCCGGGAAGCTACCTTCACTGCGTTTAACGTGGCGAACATCCAGCCTCGTTGGTCACCCGATGCGCTGCAATTATTTTCGATGCTCGGTCTATGCATGATGGATTCATGTTGAAGTTGCCTCTACCTGGTTTATCTTCCTTAGTTTTCGGCCAGGCCGTACTGCGTGAGCAGCGGCACCATAGACGGCTTGCGCCCGCGGAAGGCCTCAAATACCTGCTCCGGGTGCTGGCCGCCACCACGCGCCAGGATGGTGTCACGGAACTTTCGACCAACGCGTGCTGCTGCCTCGGGACTCTCCTTTGCTGCCTCCTCGAAGGCGCCGTAAGCATCGCATGACAAGATCTCAGCCCATTTATAACTGCGAACATTAAGAAATCACGTCAAGACAACTGCACTGTTAACCTCTAACGTTGCAGCGACATACCTGTAATAACCTGCAGCGTAGCCGCCCGCGAAGATGTGAGCGAACGAGCACAGGAAGCGGTCTTCCTCCAGCGGGCTCAGCACGGCGTACTCGTCCAGTAGACGACGCTGTGCCGCAAACAGTGGCTCCTCTGGTGAGTAGTGCGAGTGTAGATACATGTCCAGTGCGCCGAAGCCCAGCTGACGCAGCATACCCGTGGCTACCATGTAGTTACGCGCTGCCTTGAGCTTCTCGAACAGCTCATCAGGCAACGGCTCACCAGTCTTGTAGTGCCCACTGATCGCAGCGATCGTGTCTGCATGAATATTAACGCGAAGTTAGATAACTTTCCCACTTACTGATACGAAGCGGTTAGCGTACGTTTGTCATAACAGAAGTTTTCCATCATTTGCGATGGGATCTCGACAGCGTCCCATTCAATGCCGTTAATACCAGCCACGTCGCCGTACTCCATTTGCGTCAGCATGTGCTGCAGACCGTGGCCGAATTCGTGGAAAAGCGTCTCCACCTCACGGAACGTCATGAGGCTCGGCGTCTCGCCCACGGGCGGCGATTGATCACAGATGATGTAAGCCACCGGAATGCGCTTGCCGCCCTGCTCCTTGGGACCAAGTAGACGGCTACGGTCCACACACGTGTTCATCCACGCGCCGCCATTCTTCTCCTTCGGACGCGAGTACGGGTCCAAAAAAAACCGAGCGATCATTTCCTTGTCACCTTCGGTGCTGCGTACGTTGAAGAAGCGCACGTCGGAGTTCCAGACTTCGGTTTGACCATCTGCAGCCTCGATAGTCACACCAAACAACCGAGACGTGAGGGCGAACAGACCATCGAGAACCTGAAATATGCACAAACATTAGTTCTTCGTATCCTGGTAGAAAGTAAAATCGATAGATACATACGCGTTCAAGCGGGAAGTATGGCTTGATCTCTTCATCGGTGAACAGATACTTCTCCGCCTTGAGCTTCTCCGACCTGATAGAAAGAACAACCGTCAGATAAGCGATATGGTACTACAAACACAGGTACAAGCGTACCAAAAACCGAGATCCCAGGGAGCCAGGGGCTCTGTCTGTCCGTGCTGCTTTGCGTACTCTGCCACGGTCTCCACTTCCTCGTGGGCGATAGCAACGCACTTTTCACGAAGGTCGCTGTGCATTTTTTCAACTTCTTCCACGCTTGGTGCCATCTTCTTCGAGATGCTCACCTCAGCGTACGACTTGAAGCCAAGCAGGTTCGCAATCTGCTGGCGGATCTGGAGGAGCTCCAAAATGATGCCTTCATTATCGAAAGACTCGCCGCTCGCGCGGGTCGCGTACGCCCGATAGAGTGTCTCACGCAAAGCGCGATTAGCCGAGTACTTCATGAACTGCACGTACGATGGCGGGTCCAGCGTAATACGCCACGGTCCACTCTCAGGTGAGGCATCCGCGTGGCCCTCGTCACGAGCGCTCTGGGCAAACATTTGCAGCAGCGAAGGGGGCAGACCCTCCACCTCGTTCGTATCAGTGATAGTGATTGAATAGGCCTTGGTAGCGTCAAGCAAATTCGATGAGAACTTGGTGCTCTACAAGCAGCAACAAGACCAAGCAAAGTCAGCAAATACACTACCCGTGCCACCACTACCAACCCCCCTTCTTACCAATTCGGCAGCACGCAGCTTGAGCTTGTTGAATTTCTCCTTCTCTTCACCCTCGAGCCCGACACCGCTGAGCGTCGCGCTGCGGAGACTGAGATCAATGATGCGCTGCTGAGCCAGCTCGAGCTCACTCCATTCGTCGCTTTCTCGAACAGCGAGATACGCGTCATATAGCGTCTTGCTCTGAGAAGCCTCGGTTACTGTCTTGATCACCAGCTGCTGTAGCTTGTCGTGCACGGCACGCAGCTCTTCCGAGTTGCGCACACTCATGAGGTGGCCCACAATGCCCCACATGCGACCTAGTGCGTCACCCTGCACCTCTAGTGGGTCCACCACATCGCCGAACTGGACGTTCTTGCCTGCTTCACGAAGCTTTCTCTCAAGCTCGTGCAGGTCGCGCGTGTAGTCGGCAGCGGCATTGCTGACCGCTGGTTCGATCTCCGCCAGTTGCAGACGCTCGAAGGGTGGCAGCTGGCGTTCCCGCACACATACTTCGAGTGAGTTAGTGGACGCTGATGCAAAGCTGCGCCAGAACAGCGAGGAGCGGCGGGTCGCGGCGCTCGTAGACGACGGGCGCACACAGCGGAGCAGCATTGGAGTGAGGTGCCGTACTACTGGTAATTGACAGCCTCAAATGTCGTGACATTCAAGAACAGTTGAAATGTACCAGAATATGGGTACCTGGAACGCTCAATTTCGGTAGACGAGCGCGACAGCTTAGACTGAAGAGCATTTGCAATTGCAGCAGGCGGAATCTCCATCGCCTGCTACTACAGAACCCGACAGCTGTGCCAGTCTACACCCTCTAGAGTCAAAAGTGTGTGTAGGAGTGTTGCGCCTTTTCATTCCACAGTGAAGCGCTATCGTCGACGTTTCCTGCGACTGGCGACTTTCATGACCGAGTGTGCTGTAGTGTTCAGACGGAACCGTGTAGTCGAGCAGCTTAATGCAAGGGGTGGTATTTATAACGGTGTCGGTAGTGGCCACCCAGATGTGCCTTCCTTCAACACTCTGACATGGCAGACGAAAAGCTGTTGAGTGCTTGGTGGCAATCACTCGACACTGTACCCTTCTCTCACTCGCTTCAGAAGCCACAGTAGCGGCGACTCCTTTGCAGAATAACGTTCAGTCCTTTTCACCATTTTGGATTTCGCTAGGAGAAAGTTACGGGCAATCAACTACTCTTGGAAATGAAGCTCGCTTCCATAGCTCGTGCTGGTGTACTTGTTTCCGCACTAGCGGCCACCCTGACACAAGGGTACACGTTCGCCGAGACCAGTGACTTGACTACGGACTCAGACACCGTAGAGAGCACGGGTCTCACAGTCAACGAGGAGAGCCGCATCTACGGTGGATCCGAGGCGGATGCGTCCAAATACCCGTACATTGTAAGTCTGCGCAAGGATAAAGCCGATGGCAGTACCTACTGCGGTGGCACTCTCATTGCTTCACAGTACGTTGTGACTGCTGCTCACTGTGTGAAGACGGATGTCAACACAATCTACGCTTCAATGGGATCGGCGTTCGGATCGGGGTCGGCAGACGGCGAGCAAGTCAAAGTGATCGAGGGGTACCGTCATCCCATGTACAACAAATCCGAGCACTTGTACGACGTTGGAGTGCTCAAGCTTGAAAAGAAAGTGTCCACAGACTCTATCGATCTTTGCGCAGCCGACGGATCGGACAACGAGGTCGGAAGTGTTGCAACCGTCCGAGGATGGGGGCTCACCGAGAATGGCTCGCAGAGTCTCGTGATGGAGGAGCTGAATGTTAAAATCATCTCGAATGCCGAGTGCAACAAAATGTATAGCGACCGCATCACTGAAGGTATGCTGTGCGCCGGTGAAGGCGATGGCAAAGACACTTGCAACGGAGACTCGGGGGGTCCGCTGATTGAGAACGATGTACTTGTCGGAATTGTGAGCTGGGGCGGCAAGTGCGGAGCAAATGCCGGCGTGTACACGCGCATCTCGCATGTGCTGGACTACATCAACGACATTGTGAGTGGTGGCACTGGAAGTGGTTTCACTTCGAATGTTTCGGGATCGACTAGTGAAGACAAATCTTCATCCACTTCAACGGATACGACAGATGCCCCCGCAACGGCCACCAAGACACCAGCAACCGAAACATCATCACCGACTTCTGCTCCTACGAAAGCCCCCACTTCAGCTACACTGACTCCTGTTATTAATACGACTAAAGCTCCAACTCAGGCTCCGACTGTCACGGAAGCACCGGACACTGAAGCGCCGGACACCGAAGCATCCGAAACGGAGAATGACTCGGTAGAGCAAATTGAGTCGAGCGATAACCCTGCACAGCAGAGCGAGTCTGATACTTCGACCGACGTGCCGACGCCCGCCTCAGGTGCGAAGACTCAAAGCGGCAAGAAGGACTGTGCCTCCCTGTTTGGATCCAAATGAACTCCATCCAGCGCAGAAGATGAGGAAGGAGATTTGTGTACATAGTTTCTTAGCGGTCGTATCAATGCGGCCGAGTATTTGTGGGTCAATAGATGTGGTGGCGCCGTGACACAATTTTGGTCGCCAAAGTCAACGTTTTCTTTGTTTGCCGCCATTGTGTTGCCGATCATTGGCCCGATGAGCCAAAATGATTCACATCAGCATGGGCCCTTCTTTTGCTGGTACAATGCGCACCGCTGTTTTCCTAGCAGGGTGTGCAGATGGTGGCCCAACTGGCTGCTGGCACCAGCTGGTGTTAGCGACCACAAATTAGGAAGTATAAATTGTGTTTAGAGGCTATCACCACAAGTGATCGGTGCCACTAGATTCCCAATATTATAAAGCGGAGTCGTTACCGCAACCATAATATGCGACATTTATGGTTGCTATAACTCAGTTATGGTTGCTATACCAGAATTTCAAAAAACTCTTAGCGAAAGATAAATCCAATTTTAAGAAAGTATTTTACACCCATTTTAAAATACCGTATCAGCACCTAAGTACGAGTATACTCGGTTAAGTACGATCATATTATTAAGTACGATTGCTCTGAGCTGCTCATATTTGGAGCTGGGCAGCTCTGCGACGGCCACGCGGTAGATTCGCGCCGCGCTAGTTGGCGTTGCGAGTACGAGGGACAGCGTGCGAAGGATAGGACGATGGCTGGTAGACTACATGAGTCGGGATTTAGAGCTGTGGTTGTAGTTCTTACCACTTGTATGTGTTTGTGTGCGACAGAAGCCCGAAGAACGCAAAATGTCAACGGACAACAGACAATCACGTATAATGCGCTCGGGATCGAGGATGACGACGCCAGCGACGAAGACTACGTGTTGGAGGCCATTTCGGAGGATGAGGAAGAAGATGAGGACCTTTCCTCTGGCAAATCAAACGAGGGCAGCACAACAGCTGCCGGTAAGGTTGTTTGCTGCACTTTACGTTACTACATGTTTTGCTGAGCTGTTGTGTGGGGTGTACATGCATCTAGGAAAGCCAAGCGCTCAGAGTAACAAGAACAAAAGGATACAGGGCAACGTGAAATCAGGTATGGTTGCTATATGCGTAAGGGTTGTTTTATTCATCATCTTACAAGCCCACATGTTTGCTTGTTGCTAGATTCGAAGGCTACTAAAACATTGCTGAAGCGCACTTCCCCTCATATGCCAATGAAGTCTTCTCTGGTTAAGCGGAAAAGGCAGGAAATACCAGTGCAATCAAGTGGTGAATATTCGCCAAGAAAACGCGTGAGCAAGCACCTCACAGAGCTACAATCAATAAACTCAGGTGAAAATAAGATCGTGAATACAGTTCCAGCGCTTGGGCCGGCCAAGATGATTAATTCTTAAGAGGAATTTGAGATTATCTTCGATGCATACAAGAAGATGTACAAGCTCAAGTTTCGGGTGCGGAGCTCAGAAAAGACGGCGCTTGGTACGTGATGTAGCTATAACAGTGATGTAACTTCTTTAATTTTTTGCTTACAATATGTCAACTTCTTCTTAGACTGTAAATTGACGCCCCAGCAGACGCGTAATCTTATCCGTAGCACCATGGGGAAGGATTCTGGTGAAGACCGTCTCAAGAATATGCTTCACGCTCTTCGGCATCTTGAGGGCAGCGATGTGCTCGTCATTCAAGACCAGTTTGACGTCACGTGCGGAGTTGTTATGCAGACAAAAATTCAAAAGATGATGTTTGAGCGGTGGGGGGAAACGTTGGCAATGGACTTTACGCATGGAACGAATAACCTGGGCTATCATCTGGGTACGTTTGACACAGCAACCTTACCTGATATAGCAACCCCCTGTAGCAACCTTAATTGATACAGTAACCGTTGTGGCAACCTTATCCGCTATCGCAACCTTGCTGATCATCATGTATTTCCTTGCTGGTAGGGAGTTTGGTTGTCACCACATGCACGGGTCGTGGCTTCCCTGTGGTTGAATTCATTTGCCTCAATCAGCAAGCAAAGACGATCTCCACGATTTTGGAGTACTTCAAGGAGAAGAATTCGTGTTGGTTGAGTCGGATCAGGAAGTCGCAGATCGGTTCGTTGACTTTACGTCTCGCCGAGTAGTAACGAGTGCGGGCGGACTGGTCGAACTGTGAGCAATAATAATCCAGGAACGCCTCGCTGAGTAGTTTCCAACGTCGCTGAGGCTTCTTCGGCAGCTGCCTGTACCAACTCTTCGCCGCGCGTCCCAAGCATAGCGAGAAAGGTTCGCACCAGGCACTTTGTGGCATCCTGGTGCTCTTCATCTCGTAGATGAAACGCTTGAGCCACTGGAGCGACGCATCAGAGCGGTAGCGCTTTCCTTCGAACTCAGCGATTTTGTCGAGCGATGCGTGGGTTCGGACTTCTAGGTACTGCATCGAGTCTTCTTCAGCCGCGTCAAAGCTCAAATTTTCGGATGTAGTCCTTCACGATTTTCCTCACGGTTACCTCTCATGTCGAAGGCGTCGTCGTCTTCTTCATCCTCTTCGTAAGCCTCAGCCTCGTCAGCAGCGTCATACAATTCACGGTAACGACCAACATTCCGCTGTCCACGACTCGGCGCTCGCTGAGTCGGGTTTAGCTTCATTGGAGTCAGCATGTGGGAGTCTTCGAAGTACGGAGTCCCTTGCGTAGCGCGGAACACTTCACGTCTCTTCGTCTCCGGGGTCTTCGGCAAAGGAATTTTGCTTGGGTCTTCGCCGAGTGGTTTGAACTCGGCTACTCGGCTGTACACCTTCTTCGTTCCACCAGGGGCCTTCTCCAATCCAAACGCCACTCTCAACTTCTTCTTCAATTGCCAGAGCTCAGCTCCGCCACGGGTCAGACTCCAGTCGGACAGGATGAGGCTGTTTGGTCGGCTGTTGCACCGATAGCCCATCGCCTTCAACAGCAACACAGTTTCTTCCACCAACTGATTGATGTTGGCTGCACGCACCGGTTTGGAATATCTCGGGACCCAGCACCGGCCACTTCGCCTGCGCCATCGCCACAGGCGCGAACATCATCATCCATTCCGATCTCGTTCTCATCTCCTCGCCGAGTCGAGCTAACACCTTATTGGCGCTCGACGTATCGGCGTTCCTCGTCGCTTTCGGAATAAGGGGCGGACGGTCCCCTTGAGCAACGCCATGTTCTTCTTCATCTTCATCGTCCGCACCTTCGTCGAGCTCGGCGGATAAGTTGTGCTCGACAGGACGTGTGGCTCCCATGCGTCCCACCTGCAGCGTCAACTCTTCCACCTCGCCAAGTAGCTCGGCGGTAGCTTTCGTTTCTCCGTGCTCAGCGGTCCCGGCCTTCTCTTCATACTCTCCTTCACTTGCATCTCCGTTCTCGCTCTCCTGGTCTTGGTCATTCTCGTCGAACTGGACGGTTCGTCCCACCTCCATCGTCATGGCGATGAGTCGTTGATTCGCCGGGTCCGACCCCGCGAGAGGCGATCCTCCAGCCGTCGCTGGGCTTCCGTCGCTCGGAGTTGCTGATCCCTTGACCATCTTCACTCTTCTCTTCCTCTTAACTTGGTTAGCTGGCACCAAGCACACACTCCTGTTCCCGGGTCGCGGCACCAGTTGTGGTGTAATAGAGCACACAAATACCGTCAGATGGGGATTCCTTACACAAACCACAACAAGTCGCCGAGCTAGGTCGGCGGTTGTATGGCCTGCGCAGAGGGTGGTTTCCTCGCGGTCCGGCCCTTCCGGGACAGACGAGTGGCTCGTTTTTACTCGGTTTTGACTAACCAAGTCAGATCACTTCCGAGGCTCCGCCGAGTTTGGTTCGACTGAGCTCGTTCACAGCCCTGTGCCCTCCACCAAAGGATGGACGACGGCGCGCGAGCGCTTTTACAGGTCACCGAGCGCAGAGGCTGCTCAGCTAGAAGTGTTACGGCACCCGGGCTATCCGACGTACCGGCCCGCTGAGTATGCGGGACTTTCTTTCGCGCGTAGCGAGACTTTGTCCTACCCGGACGACCTAATCTCTTGGCGCTACCAGTCAATACCCTACAAGCTATGCCTCTCGAGTATTGACGGCAGGCATAATCCAGCCCTATGCAGGGACTTACCGGAAAAGTGTACACGTGTCTTGGACTAGTAAAATTCTGCTCTGTTATCTTCTGGGAGCCCTTTCGGCTCCCCCTATTTAATCCTATGCTTCTCATACAAATATCTAGTGAAATGTAGTCGTTTCGGTTCTCTACCGACCCTTCAGCTGAGTTCCGGCGACCGTTGAGCTCAGCAGCTATCCGGATAGCATATCCGGACAGATCGCCGAGTACCTACCGTGATCCTATGCTCCTCAGCTCCGGGCTATCAGACCGAGCCGGTTCTTGACCTAAAGTAGGTCGGCGTATGGTCGAATCTGGAAATCCCTACACCACACGTAATCTTATCCGTAGCATCATGGGGAAGGATTCTGGTGAAGACCGTCTCAAGAATATGCTTCACGCTCTTCGGCAGCTTGAGGGCAGCGATGTGCTCGTCATTCAAGACCAGTTTGACGTCACGTGCGGAGTTGTTATGCAGACAAAAATTCAAAAGATGATGCTTAAGCGGTGGGGGGAAACGTTGGCAATGGACTTTACGCATGGAACGAATAGCCTGGGCTATCATCTGGGTACGTTTGACACAGCAACCTTACCTGATATAGCAACCCCCTGTAGCAGCCTTAATTGATACAGTAACCGTTGTGGCAACCTTATCCGCTATCGCAACCTTGCTGATCATCATGTATTTCCTTGCTGGTAGGGAGTTTGGCTGTCACCACATGCACGGGTCGTGGCTTCCCTGTGGTTAATTTCATTTGCCTCAATGAGCAAGCAAAGACGATCTCCTCGATTTTGGAGTACTTCAAGGAGAAGAATTCGTGTTGGGATCAAGTCGTGAGCGTGGTCATTGATAAAGACTTCACTGAATGGAAGGTACTTGAAGAGTCCTTCCCCAACGCGAAAATTCTCCTTTGCCAGTTCCACGCAATCTCCTACTGGAAGAAGATTATGAAGAGGTCTGTCTATGGAATTAAGACTGCGCAGAGTGAAGAGCTACTTGCCTTGATGGTGAAACTGCTTTTCAGGTATGTCGCCACGGTTCTTTCGATACACATGTCCTGTCTTACTTTCTTAACTAATTGTTATCTTAGCTCAACGCAGGATGCATACGACACTTACTACAAGAACCCTCAATCGTACTGCCAAAGTAACAAGAAACTCGCTTTCTTTGCGTATTTTGACAAGAACTGGAACACATGCAATGGCATGTGGTCCAACTTTGCACGTGGTAAACATTTCACTGCTGGCAATACAACTACCAACAGGATCGAATCTAATTGGAACCAGCTCAAGATGTTGCTCGGGCGTAAAACAAGAATTGACCAGACCATCACTGGATTGCTGCAGCACCAGATGAATATCACGCAGCAGATTGTCTCTGAGATCGGGCAGCTGCACTCGAGTACACGGAGGCCTAAGTCGGTGCCGACGTTTTTGAGAGCAGTTGGGAGCAGAATATCAGCGTATGTTTTGGAGACAATTAGGCGGGAATGGGAGCAATTTGTGAATCTGATGAAGGAAACAACATGTGTACAGACATTATCGGTTTCGAAATGGAACGTATACTGTCACAACCAAGGATTTGAGTGCGATGACGTGGACTGGAAGTGCACCTGTCTGTTTTCAACTACCAACCACTTGCCGTGTCGGCATCTCATGCACGTAGCGCACAAAGGACATGGATTCGAGATGCTTCCTGTTATAACAATTTGCGAACGGTGGAGTACAATGACAGCGTTGAAATCTACAGAAGCATTTACGGCCGCTGCTGATACTCTCTGTTCAATCGTGCGGATGTCGAAGTTAAGGTTGCCAAAGTTAAGGTTACCGGATGAACCTTGTGCTGAGCTTCCTACCTCGTCAGCGCCGAAGAAGTCACCAAAACAAGTTGTGTATGTTCGCCTGCGACGACGGGAGCGTGCCAACAAGGTTGCTCTTTCTTCAGGCGAGAAGTATTCGGTTGCTAAGGTAATGGTTGAGCCGCTGCTGGAACATCTAGCCGACTTGAGCAGCGCAAACTTTTATGACGAATTACAGGCGTGGAAAAACACATTAGAAGAAGGATTGCGCCTTGGCAAATCACGTACGAAAAAAAGTGCTGTGTTTGCCGATCACGAAAATGGAGAAGTTGAAGAAGTCGAAGATCTCGATGATGATTTGAGTTCTATTCTAGATCCAGCAGACGCAATGGCAACTGTCAAACTGATGGAAGATCTGCAAATCGACAAGCAGGATGGCGCCACGGATAGTATCAACAATGGTGATGACGTCCCTCCAACACAACTCGCAAAAGAACAAAAGGTGAAGTCACCAACTCCACCTCGTGCCACTAGCTTTGGTGAGCCGACTCCTGGCTCCAAGAAGAACGAGACGGGTGATGTTCGAGACGAAGGAGAGATATCTCGTCAAGTAGACGTTATCAATGTTTCAAAACCGATGCGCCGAAATCTGTCGCGTACCACGCCGACACAGCTACGCCAAACAAAGAATATCCCAGGTGTATCGCGGCTAGCTGTACACAATTATCCCAGCGGGCTAACAGTGAAGCTGCACGAATTTGTGACGTGGGCCCGCAATACACCAAACATGAAAAATCCTGGCTATCATGCAAAAATACCCAGTGCAACTGACGGATGCCTATCTACGATCGCGAGTGATTGAGTGCCATTGGGAAGCTATGAGGTCTGAGGACAATATGCACCCTTTTGTAATTCCCGTGGATCTTACACGGTCAATGGAGGCTGCAATATGTACTGCACGGAAGGAGCAGCGCGAACTCGACAAACTCGACTCAATTGTGTCACAGAAAGGTGTTGTTCTCGACATTGTTGCAACAATCGACCCAAAGCTCTGGAAGTTCTGCAGGTACGGTTGCTTTATCGTTATGGTTGCTATACAGAGTTGTTTTGTCTTTATGGTTGCGATACAGGGTTGCTTTACTAATGTGGTTGCTACTTCGATTACAGTCGATATGTAAATGCAGCAAGTGTTTTCTACAGAGTGAAGGCCAAGGCCAAGTCTTGGGTCGAAGATAGAAAGT